TTTTCTTCCACTTCTCAGTGTTCGTTTTTAGGATATCACTGAAGTTTACTTATACTCTATACTAATTTTGTAGATCAAACATAAGTGTACGTGCACGTTTTTTGACCCTTCTTGTTCATACGCACTATCCTCTGTTGCAGCAATGGCGTCTTATTCCGTTCCTGGCAGCGGTGTACGCACTGGAGCACTTCACCAGATCCTTCTGCATGAACTTTGTGGAATTTCAAATTGGACTGTTAATGAAGGACAAAAGCGACAGACAGGTAAACATCATACTAAAGATATGGTTTAGCTATGCTGAATATACAAGCATCCATAAAATCTGAGATAATTATCTGAGATGAAACATTTTTTCACAAAAGCGTCTTGATCACTAAATTCTGAAAGTCTCAGGATCTTCTAGTCTTTGTTGATAACATATAGATTGTGTGTGTCACTTCTCAGGCTGAACTGGGCAGAGAGATCCATGCCATGTCGTGCGCTAGTAAACCTCTGGGGTCATGGACAGCCCAGCGAGGCATTCAGGAATGCCGAGAGGCTTGTGGAGGACATGGTTACCTCGCCAGTGAGGAATTTTTAAAATCCTCATAAACTAAATGTTTAAGTCTAATATCAAAAGAACTTCTAGTCAGCTTCTGTTTATCTGTTAATCTTTTCGTGTTAAGTGAACCGGCTGGGAGATCTGCGCGATGACAACGACCCAAACTGCACATATGAGGGTGATAACAACGTCCTTCTGCAGCAGACCAGCAACTATCTGCTCAGCTGGCTTCAACACAAACAGCAAGGTCTCTACACACTAGAGTCAATTTGACCCACACTCAATTTTTATTTTTTTTGTCTACATATTTTTCATTTAGGGTCGTGAATGTGCATGGAAAGTTTCGACGCATAGATGTGTTTTAGAAAGGCTGTACAAATTTTGTTATGGCTTTTGTGACCCCCATTGGTTTCCATGAAATTTCAACTATTTTAAAAACAGCAAAGGAAATAAAAAACAGAAAACCTTTATTGTAGCTCACTCAGACACTAAAATATAAAATACATTAGATCTTTTGAAAATTAAGAGTCATTTTCCCCAAAACTGAGGACTCGTCGTCTTAAAGATTCAAGGAAAATTCTCTGTTTCTTTTTTTATGTAGTCGAGTTTGACAGTCACAGTCAATCTGCCAAAGGTTGTTTTTTGGTTGTTAGTTTGGATCTCAGTTACTAGACTGTTGCAGCACTTAAAAGAAGTGTGAGAAACTAATTTTACCCTCACAAGGTTTTGAGAACCAGACATAACAAAAAGATAGGAAGTACAAATAACAATAAATACTACTCGCACTAAGTACAAATAATGTTTGATACTATTTGTACAGACTTGTAGTTATTTGCACCTCAGTGTGCAAATAGTCACTGCAAAAGTCATGGCAAAAAAAAACATACTTGTGCAGCTAATTTTGAACATAAAAATTTGTGGGTCTAATAAAAATAGATGGGACTTATTACATTTCTCTTAATTTATATGTATACTCTCACATTATATTTATAGGATCTGACAAGCTACAATAGAGGTTTTCTGCTTTTACATGAATCTTTAGTGTTTTTCACATTGTCGATTTTTGGCTAAATTCAATGTGGGTCGATTTGACACACAACACAACAGTACCATGTCTTTGAACACAAGAGGAGGGTTTTAACAAGTATTCTCCATTTTAGTTTTGTCAAGAATTATTAAATAGGAAGAAGTAATGATAACCGTGGTTTGTTAACAATGACATCCAGAGCATTCTTTGCATATTGGTTTTAGTGGTATGCAGAATATGAAGAATGCTTTTTGTGTCTGATATGATGTTTTTCTCCCTCAATCAAGGTAAAGGAAGGATTGAATCCCCTCTTGAGACTGTGAACTTTTTAGAGGACATGAAGAGCATTCTGCAGAGCAAGTTCACGGTTGGCTCAGTGGAAGAGTGCATGAACTCAGGCGGTACGCAACATTAACATTACATTCTCCATAACAGGGACACATATATGCACATTCTTCACAACTGCACACACCAGCCACATTACTCATCTAGCATTCACTTCACCTCAGTTACCTCTGTTCTCCTGGTGCTCTTCTTTTTCTTCTTTTAGACTCCAGACTCCATTCAAATTTTGTTTTGTGGATAATTTCAGCCTTGGGGTGAAATATTATATGATTTTTAAGTATGACTGTTGATTAATTAAAAAATATGGGTAACAATTAACTTAAAACCTTTATGTATAATACATTATAAAGGGTTATTAAAGGGTATAATATTATAATTATTCATAATGTGTTTTGTAATGCATTATATCTTGAGATTGTACAATGCATTATAAGGTGCATTACAAGGCATAATTAATGCATTAAAACTTCTTTTATAATATATTATACATAAAGGCTTTAAGTAAAGTGTTACCAAAATATGTTTAAATATATTTTCACATTCTCCAGATTAATGTGGAATCACATAAAGATATATTCAATATTTCAGATTTGTTTCATGGCATATTTTACTGGCTGTATCACTGATACCAATACTGATATTATATTTAGTCTTCAGTTTCTGGGGGAGAAAAAAAGGTATCTAGGTATTTAACATAACAACCTAAACCGCAATTTATCAGGTGTTTTTATTTAGCATTTATTAACAGTTACAAAAATGAAAAATATTGTAACAACTTTTGATGTACAGTAAGTGAACTTACATTAATGCTAGCCAAAGGCAGTAACAAAGCTACTTCAGAAACAAACAAAAAAAAATGCTGCATTAATTGCGTTAATTATTTTTAACATGTTAAACAGCAGTTATTAATAAATTTAAGAAATTAACACATTAATTTTTTTCCCAGATCTATTTTAAAGA